AGTTTGGTGTTCGCCAAAAGGCATGTGGGAGACTCCCCAAACATATGGAAGAAGGTATTCTGGTCAGATGAGACTTAAATTGAGCTTTTTGGCCATCAAGGAAAATGTGATGTCTGGCGCAAGCTCAACACCTCTCATCACCCCGAGAACACCATGTTTTTCATCAGCAGGGACTGGGAAACTGGTCAGAATTGAAGGAATGATGGATGGCGCTAAATACAAGAAAATTATTGAGGGAAACCTCTTTCAGTCTTCCAGGGATTTGAGACTAGGACAGATGTTCACCTTCCAGCAGGACAATGACCCTAAGCATACTGCTAAAGTAACACTCGAGTGGTTTAAGGGGAATCATTTAAATGTCTTGGAATGGCCTAGTCAAAGCCCAGACCTCAATTAAATAGAGAATCTGTGGTATGTCTTAAAGATTGCTGTACACCAGCGGAACCCATCCAACTTGAAGGAGCTGGAGCAGTTTTGCCTTGAAGAATGGGCAAAAATCCCAGTGGCTAGATGTGCCAAGCTTATAGAGACATACCCCAAGAGACTTGCAGCTGTAATTGCTGCAAAAGTTGGCTCTACAAAGTATTGACTTTGGGGGTGTGAATAGTTATGCACGCTCAAGTTTTCCGTTTTTTTTTTGTCTTATTTTTTGTTTGTTTCACAATAAAAAATATGTTGCATTGTCAAAGTGGTAGGCATGTTGTGTAAATGAAATGATACAAACCCCCCCAAAAAAATTAATTCCAGGTTGTAAGGCAACAAAATATGAAAAATGCCAAGGGGGGTGAATACTTTCGCAAGCCACTGTAATGCTTGGTACATTAGGTATGTAATGATGTAGGCCCTTCAACACACACCCTGTCCAGTGCTGAGTGCCATCATTTACTCCCCCTTCACAAAGGTGGTGACCCTTGTGGCCTAAATAATTATCCCCCTATTTCTAAACTTTCTTGCCTAGCTAACATATTAGAATCCTTGATTTAATTCTCAGCTAAGATCTTTCTTTTCTTTGAAATGTATTCTAAAATGTACATCAGTCGGGTTTTAGACCAGGTCATAGTGCTATCTCTGCTGCTTCTCTAGTTATAAATGTTGTGGTTAACTGTATGGATAAAAGGCAACATTGTGCTGCCCTATTCATTGACCTGTCAAAGGCTTTCGATACTGTTGATCACTCACTTCTAATTCTGAGGTTTTCCTCAATTGGCCTAGACCAGGCTGCATGTAACTGGTTTAAAAAATTACTTGACAGAACTCAATGTGTATCTACTGAAGGTTTTCTGGATATTACGAAAGGTGTCCCAAAGTGGTCGATTCTGGGTCCTGTACTTTTTACTGTTTACATTAACAATATTGTCTGTAACAAAAGTGTAACCTGCACTGTATGCCGATGATACTGTTGTGTATGCTATTGCCCCCTCGGTTGACCAGGCTCTATCTGAACTACAGTCTGCCTTCATTGTATTACAGAAAAACTGTATTGACCTGAAATTAGTATTGAATGCAGGTAAAACAAAGTATACATTGTTCTCTACACTCTTAGAAAAAAAGGTGCTATCTAAATCCTAAAAGTGTTCTTCGGCTGTCCCCATAAGAGAACCCTTTGAAAAACCCTTTTTGGTTCCATGTACAACCTTTTACACAGAGGGTTCTACATGGAACCCAAAAAAAGTTATATATCTGGAACCAAAAAGGGTTCTACCTGGAACCAAAAAGGGTTATCCAATGGGGATAGCCGGACAACCCTTTTGGAACCCTTTTTCTAAGAGTGTAGAGCGCATAAAAATAACTCTGATGATTTAAGAATATGTACTTTAGATGGTGTCCATATTGATCGTGTCCCTGCTTAGACATATCGGGGTAACTGGATAGATGACTGTCATTGTCACAACTTCCTCCGAAGCTGCCTCCTCTCCTTGTTCGGGCAGGCTTCGTCGTCACCGACCTTCTAGCTACCGCCGCTCCTCATCTCATCATTCCATTTGTTTTGTTTTGTTTTGTTTATTACACACACCTGGTTCATATCCCCTCATCAGTACCTGTATAAGTGTTCCCTCTGCCCCCTTGTCTTTGTGTGTGATTGTTTATTGTGGAGGTTAGTTTAGCTCGGTGGAGCTCCATGTATTTCACCCGTGTGCCTTGTTTCCCGGTGCGCCTGATTTACGCACTGGAGTGTTTGACGCATTGCTGCGTAATGCTGTGTTTTCGGAATAAACCCTTTTATTCTGTGATTTACCCTCCTGCGCCTGACTCCTTCTAAATCACTCACCACAGTCATTTAAAAAGCATATTGATGAGTTAAGTAAGAAGCTGAGAATAGAAATAGGCTTCTTCTATAGAAATAGGTCCTGCCTCTCACTAAATAGTCGAAAGCATATTATTCAGTCGATGTTCCTATTGGTCCTAGACTATTGCAACATCGTTTACAGTACCAGTCAAAAGTTTGGACACAACTACTCATTCAAGGGTTTTTCTTTATTTTTACTATTTTCTACATTTTAGAATAATAGTGAAGACATCAAAACTATGAAATAACAAATATGGAATCGTGTCATAACCCAAAAAGTGTTAAACAAATCAAAATATTTTATATTTCAGATCCTTCAAAGTAGCCACCCTTTGCCTTGATGACAGCTTTGCACTCTTGGCATTCTCTCAACCAGCTTCATGAGGTAGTCACCTGGAATGCATTTCAATTAACAGGCATGCCTTGTTTAAAGCTAATTCGTGGAATTCTTACCTTCTTAATGTGTTTGAGCCAATCACTTGTGTTGTGACAAGGTAGGGGTGGTATACAGAAGATAGCCCTATTTGGTAAAAGACCAAGTCCATATTATGGCAAGAACAGCTCAAATAAGCAAAGAGAAATGACAGTCATTACTTTAAGACATGAAGGTCAGTCAATATGGAAAATGTCAAGAACTTTGAAAGTTTCTTCAAGTCCAGTCGCAAAAACCATCAAGCGCTATGATGAAATTGGCTCTCATGAGGACCGCCACAGGAAAGGAAGACCCAGAGTTACCTCTGCTGCAGAGGATAAGTTCATTAGAGTTACCAGCCTCAGAAATTGCAGCCCAAATAAATGCTTCACAGAGTTCAAGTAACAGACACATCTCAACATCAACTGTTCAGAGGAGACTGTGTGAATCAGGCCTTCATGGTCGAATTGCTGCAAAGAAACCACTACTAAAGGTCACCAATAAGAAGAAGAGACTTGCTTGGGCCAAGAAACACGAGCAATGGACATTAGACCGGTGGAAATCTGTCCTTTAGTCTGATGAGTCCAAATTTGAGATTTTTGGTTCCAACTGCCGTGTCTTTGTGAGACGCAGAGTAGGTGAATGGATGATCTCCACATGTGTAGTTCCCACCGTGAAGCATGGAGGAGGAGGTGTGATGGTGTGGTGGTGCTTTGCTGGTGACACTCTCTGTGATTTATTTAGAATTCAAGGCACACTTAACCAGCATGGCTACCACAGCATTCTGCAGCGATATTCCATCCCATCTGGTTTGCGCTTAGTGGGACTATCATTTGTTTTTCAACAGGACAATGACCCAACACACTTCCAGGCTATGTAAGGGCTATTTTACCAAGAAGGAGAGTGATGGAGTGCTGCATCAGATGACCTGGCCTCCACAATCCCCCGACCTCAACCCAATTGAGATGGTTTGGGATGAGTTGGACGTCAGAGTGAAGGAAAAGCAGCAAACAAGTGCTCAGTATATGTGCGAACTCCTTCAAGACTGTTGGAAAAGCATTCCAGGTGAAGCTGGTTGAGAGAATGCCAAGAGTGTGCAAAGCTGTCATCAAGGCAAAGGGTGGCTACTTTGATGAATCTCAAATATAAAATATATTTTGATTTGTTTAACACTTTTTGGGTTACTACTTGATTCCATATGTGTTATTTCATAGTTTTGATGTCTTCACTATTATTCTACAATGTAGAAAAAATAAAGAAAAACCTTTGAATGAGTAGGTGTGTCAACTTTTGACTGGTACTGTATATGAACGCAGCTGCCTCTTCATTAAAGCCATTAGATGCACTGCGCTTTATTACGGCCAACAATTTTAGTACTCATCACTGCATTCTCTACCAGAAAGTTGGTTGGTCCCTCTTTGATGTCATGTAGGTTGATACATTGCTATGTTTTCATTTATAAAGCCCTTTTACAAAAAGTCCCATACCTAACATCTTTACTCAACTTTAGACATACGAGTTACCACACCTGGTCTCTGGAAATTCCTTTGGTCTCTACTGAGTTAGTTTTAGCTTTTAGTTTTCTTGCACCTAATTTGTGGAAAAATCTTCAAAATGTTCTTAAATTAGATTTGTTGGTGCCTCCAGGGAAATTCAGAAAGCTGATTGAGGACCATATTAATTAACATGTTTGTTTTTTATGACCGTGTTTTTCTTTCTGCTTGCATTTTGTATTCATATTTTGATTTGTGTATTTTCTGTAATTGATGTAATTCAGGGCTCATCTGTAAAAGAGACCTTAGTCTCAGTATGACTCACTGATAAAATGAAGGTTAAATAAAAAAATCTTAAATTAAAGGCAATATTTAGGCTGGATTTAGAAAACAGCCGTTGTCTATGGAGGAGACTCCCTGCACTGCAGTGTAAGTCACCTGGCTGTACCGTCCTGGCTATGTCCTGCTGTTAAATCCTCTGACTGATCTGAACACTGAGTATTAGAATGGTATTAGTCTCCAGGACTACAGGAGGGGAGAGGACAGCCAAGACCTTGGGATGATATCATTGCCTGAAGATACTGCCAAAGTCCTCTTAACCCTCTCACCCCGGGCACCTTCTGACTTTCAATACAATGTCCAGTTATGGTCATCATTGCAATTTACTCACTTTGGCAGTTAGTGAGTGTGATTGTACCCCTTTACAAGTTTATTCTCTGGTCCTGCATACGTACCCATATAGAGGAGGCAGAGGTTTAGGATCAATGTGATTCTGCATGTAGTGTGATCTGATAATTTATACACTGACCTTATAGAGGCAGAGGTCAATGACCTGGTTGCAGATCTCCCTCAGGTCATCGCACACCTGCAGGCGGCTGCGGACGAACGCACACAGCTCCTCATTGCCGATGGCGTCCCACACGCCGTCACAAGCCACTATGAGGAACTCGTCTTGCGGTGACCTCTCCAGCTTGTACACCTCCGGCTCTGGGGAGACCAGCTGCTCAGTCTGGGACCTCCAGTCCACCTCCTTAAAGTCAAAGTCACCCAGGGACCTGGACACAGCCAGGGAGCCGTTCACCCTATGCTGGGTCACCGAGCCGCCTGCGTTCTGTATTCGCTCCTTCTCCCTAGGGTTGAAAGGCTTGTGGTCCTCCGTGTAGAAGATGACCTGGCCGTCACGGCAGAGGAGCGTCCGCGAGTCGCCACAGTTGACGAAGTAGATGTACTGCGGCGAGAGCATGACGGCAGCCGCCGTGGAGCCGCTGCGCTCCCAGCATTCCTGGCGCGTCAGTGTGTGCATGTGGCTGTCGATGGCCAGGAAGCCCTCGACAATCCCCTCCTTCACATCATCAGGGTCCTCCTCCGCCTTTACGCGCCCTGGAGGCAGGAGAGATCAATATGGGTTAGAGACCTGGCCTATAGGTGACAAATACACATCATTTGGTTCTAATTCATATTAGGTTGTGCTGCCTAAAATCGACATGCAGAAGTTAACTACAGTGGGGCCAACTACATGATAACTACACATAGTTACAATACAATTATTTGACCACCAGCCTTGCCAGCTTGGTTCCAAGGGACAAATGCCCACTGTTGGTGCCCTGCCAGAGCCCAAATCTCAGAGCTCAGGTTGCGCTGTTGTAGTCCTCTGAGGTCACTGTCTGTCTGTCTGTTTTGCTTGTGGCATTAATTGATTAATTTATGCATTTTAGGTTAGGATTAAAAGTTTGTCTTGAGTTAAGTAGCAGACATTGTAGGCACAAGTGTCAGATTAAGTATCTCATACTTCGGGCCAAGAACAAGGATCAAGAGGTTGTCAACAACAGCTGTCAGCCATGTTGTGCTACCATGTTAATGTTTAGGAATGATACATAAAACCAGGAGAGATATTGTCTTTGGTATTCAAGTTACAACTTTAGATCAAGAACACCATACACATAGCCTACAGCACAACGGCACCTTGTCACCCATGCCTAGCTATGTCTGTGGAACACACACTGGAAATAGGTGTCGTAAAATAGTGAAAATAAACTAGGCTGCCTACAATTATATAATTCAGTTAGTCAAAGTGCGCGGCCCAATTTGGTACCTGTAGCGAGGATGTGTTGCAGCAGGTTGCGGGAGCAGTACTGTGCCACCGTGTTGCCAGCGTGTCCATCAAACACAGCATAGTAGCCCCACTCCACCAGCTCCCCTCCCATCTCCGGCATGCAGGCATGGGCGTCCTCCATCTGCGCCCTCCAGCCCTGCATGCTGGCCGTTGCATAGTTCACCCCCCACTGAGACCCCCCCTCGGCCGCGTGTTTCTCCAGGATGGGCCGGTCCAGGTAGATGCTCGGCCCGTTATCCTCATCACTGAAGTCCTCTTCGTTCCCCTCCTGGTCATCTTTCTGTACTCCCTTAAAGAAGAAGGTGACCATCTTCTCTGTCTCCTTGGCTAGCTGGCGGAGGAAGGAGGGCACCTCCACGGTGCTGGCCCGCCTGGCCGTCCTCATGGCTCCTCGGAGGCGCCGCTCAAGTCTCTTTCCTGACCTGGCGCTGGTCCTCCTCTTCCCCTCTCTCCTCCTTCTCCCAGTCTGTGTCCCCCGCAGCAGGTCCAGGGCACTGGGTTAAGCTAGACACACTGAGCAGGTGGAAAATGTGTCAACTCTGGACTGTAGAGTTGTGTTTAGGTGGGCTTCAGAGTTTAGGTGGGCTTTACTAGATACTGGCAGAAATCGCTGTGGCCATCCTTGTCTTTGTAAACCTGGCTTGTTGGCGTAGTTTCTGGATTCCTAGCATTTGTCTCAATGTCTTTATGTGCAGCGTATGTGGCTGTATGGTGCCCACTCTATCTCCTTTTCTGTCTTTCTCCCCCTCTTTCTCTCCTGTCCCTGGCCAGCATTTGCCCTGTGATGCTGTTGGCCTATATCTATTTCTGTTGACTTATCCCTCAGCATGATCACTCCTCCCTTGTCTCTCTCTCTCTCTCTCTCTCTCTCTCTCTCTCCACCTCTCTCTCTCTCTGTCTGTCTCTTAATGCACTAGTTAATCTCCAACCTGCGCAGGATCTTAGATTAGTACTGTAGGACCGAATGTAAAATATGGATTATGAGCCTGTCAGCGTTTCATAGTAGCATAGTGGACAGATAGAATGAGCTCTCCAACTTTCTGTGACTGGACCTCTGTAGTTTATTTTCAGAACACTTTAGGACCTGTTAGCAATGATTCACTGAATATAGTCCACCTTTGACTTTGGGCGCCCACTGCTTTCTATTTTTCTCTTTAACACAATGCCACACACATTCTCACACACAACACACACACACACACACACACACACACACACATTAGTATGGATTAGCAAATCAGTGACACATCTAACTGATATGGAGGACCCAGATTATTATCCATGTGTGTCATGATTAAACCAGTTTAACAGATATAACGGAAGCATAAGAGGGAAATCCTCACTTAACAACAGGTGTGATCCTCATCATCAGAGGTCCCCTAGCTACAGTATAGGCCTGGGCATTCCTCTTCAATCTCTGCTGTTTCTCAAAAGCGTATTTGCAGCCGTTGGCCTATTTTAGATGCAGTCATTCTGGAGTGGTCTAGTAGATTACTGGACTTCAAGTTGTGTATACATGAGGTTGGGAGCTGATCCAGCTATCTATAGAGCCCGTTATAGGTCGAGTTATGGGTTCAGGTTGAGGATGGGACCTGCTATATGGTGGTCAGATACAGAAGGGAATGAGTAAGTAACCTACATATACACTCCACTCTGTATTTATTTGGACAGTGAAGCTAAAATGTGTACATTTGGATTTGAGATCAAATGAGGTGACAGTACAGAATGTCACCTTTTATTTAAGAGTATTTTCATACAATTCTGTTTTATCATTTAGAAATTAAAGCACTTTACATACAGTACCAGTCAAAAGTTTGGACACACCTACTCATTCATGGGTTTTTCTTTATTTTTACTATTCTCTACATTGTAGAATAATAGTGAAGACATCAAAATTATGAAATAACACATATGGAATCATGTAGTAACGAAAAAAGTGTTAAACAAATCAAAATATATTTTATATTTCAGATTCTTCAAATAGCCACCCTTTGCCTTGATGACAGCTTTGCACACTCTTGGCATTCTCTCAACCAGCTTCATTTCAATTGGTATGAGGTCGGGGGATTGTCGAGGCCAGGTCATCTGATGCAGCACTCCATCACTCTACTTCTTGGTCAAATAGCCCTTACACAGCTTGGAGGTATGTTGTGTCATTGTCCTGTTGAAAAACAAATGATAGTCCCACTAAGCCCAAACCAGATGGGACGGCGTATCGCTGCAGAATGCTGTGGTAGCCATACTGGTTAAGTGTGCCTTGAATTCTAAATAAATCACAAACAGTGTCATCAGCAAATCACCCCCACACCATAACACCTCCTCCTCCATGCTTTACAGTGGGAACTACACATGCGGAGATCATCCGTTCACCCACACCGTGTCTCACAAAGACACGGCGGTTTGAACCTAAATTCTCCAATTTGTCCATTGCACGTGTTTCTTGGCCCAAGCAGGCCTCTTCTTCATATTGGTGTCCTTTAGTAGTGGTTTCTTTTCAGCAATTCGACCATGAAGGCCTGATTCACACAGTACCCTCTGAACAGTTGATGTTGAGATGTGTCTGTTACTTGAACTCTGTGAAGCATTCATTTGGGCTGCCATTTCTGAGGCTGGTAACTCTAATGAACTTATCCTCTGCAGCAGAGGGAACTCTGGGTCTTCCATTCTTGTGGCGCTCCTCATGAGAGCCAGTTTCATCATAGCGCTTGATGGTTTTTGCGACTGCACTTGAAGAAACTTTCAAAGTTCTTGAAATTTTCCGTATTGACTGACCTTCATGTCTTAAAGGAATGATGGATTGTCGTTTCTCTTTGCTTATTTGAGCTGTTCTTGCAATAATATGGACTTGGTCTTTTACCAAATAGGGCTATCTTCTGTATATCCTCCCTACCTTGTCACAACACAACTGATTGGCTCAAAAGCATTAAGAAGGAAAGAAATTCCACAAATTAACTTTTAAGAAGGCACACCTGTTAACTGAAATGCATTCCAGGTGACTACCTCATGAAGCTGGTTGAGAGAATGCCAAAAGTGTGCAAATCTGTCATCAAGGCAAAGGGTGGCTATTTGGCTACTACATGATTCCATATGTGTTATTTTACAGTTTTGATGTCTTCACAACTATTCTGCAATGTAAAAAATAGTAAAAATAAAGAAAAACCCTTGAACGAGTAGATGTGTCCAAACTTTTGACTGGTAGTGTAGGTCACGTTTACTCCCGCTCCCCCGCTCCGGCACTCGATGTTGCCGGTTTGCTAACCACTGGTCCTGGCAACCCATCATTACATGCACCTGGCAACCCTCATTACGCACACCTACGCACCATGATGAGGCACACCTGAACTTCATCACTATCCTGATTACTCCCCATTGTCATTGTAAATAAGAATTTGTTCTTAACTGACTTGCCTAGTTAAATATATATATATATATATATATATATATATATATATATATATATATATATATATATATATATATTATTAAACTCACCACCTGCTTCCTGACTCCCAGCGTCATTGTTACAGAATACTGCCTCAAAATATGGAAGCAGCAGATGAGAAAGACATCTCCCAGACGATCAAACAGGGACACCTACTCCGCCAACACCCACGAGTAGCTGGCACAACTGGGAGCGGCTATGGATGAGGTCCTCCCGTCCTCCACCACGTCGACACCACCCGAGAGGATTCACCTTCAAATAGCGGAGGACCTTCTAACACGACTCGTCCAAGTGAGTCCGCCCAGGTCAGCGATGCCCAACTGTCCCTCCCGGACAAGTAAAACGGGACTCCATCCAAATGCCGTGGCTTCCTACTCCAGTGCTCCCTCTATTTCACCCATCAGACGGGAGCCACACCACCATGAGGTCCAAGGTTGCCATGGTCATTTCTCTGCTGACTGGGCGGGCGTTGGAGTGGCCTACGGCCATCTGGCAGAGAGGAGAGGAAGAGCAGGGTTCCTACAAAGGGTTCATGGCTCTGTTCAGGGTGGTCTTCGACCATCCAACGGAGGGCATCGCGGGAGGTGAACGACCACTCCAACTCCGGCAGGGTTCCTAGACCGCTGCAGAGTACGTCCGTGCCTTCTGGACTGTGGCAGCTTCCGGCGCTCCGCACCCTATTCCGGAGTTGGCCTGCCGGGACGACAACCTTCCTCTGGACACGCACATCGCGATGGCCATCCACCTGGACCACCTGCTTCGGGAGCGCCGATGTCCTCCTCTCCCCTCACCCTCCTCCTTTGGCCATCCTGAGGCAGAGCCTGAACCTATGGAGATAGGGTTCACACACCTCTCTGCGGCATAGCGACGTTGCCGGAGACAGCTAGGAAGGACTGTGTCCTTATTGAGGCCAGGAGGGGCACCAGCTGCAGCGGTGTCCGGTGCTTCCTAACCCGAAGTCCACTGGGGTAGAGGGATGGCCCTGTGATCCTCTGTCTCCCAGGCATGAGTATTTCTTCATCATTGTTTTCCACCAAACCCTTCCTGGTTTCTATTTCACTGCTTGGCTGTCCCTCAGGTGTTGTCTCCATGGCTCTAGTGGACTCTGGTGCCACGGGGAATTTTATCGACCAGGCCATCGTCTCCTCCCTGAACATCACCGCGTACCAGCTCTCTTCTCCTTTTACGGTTCAAGCCTTGGATAAACGACCATTGGGATCCGGCACTATCACGCACATCACAGCACCACTCACCCTCACCGTGGGACCCTTGCACCAAGAAAGCCTTCACTTCCTCATCACCATGGCTCCCATACACAAAGTCATCCTCGGTCTCCCATGGCTCCAACGTCATGACCCCACCATCTCCTGGTCAAGGATGAATATCACCGCATGGGCACCCAGATGTCGGAAGACCTGCTTTTCCTTACCTTATGGTTCCACATCAGTTGAAAGTCATGTGAGTGCCTTCCAGCCCACCATTCTGTCCTCCCATATCGTTGGTTCTGTGTTTTGGGACGTAGATGTCGACATCCGCCAGGCTCTGGAGATGGAACCCGCACCTGCTACCTGCCCTACTGAGCGCATCTATATCCCCACAGAGGTGAGGGATCAGCTGTTGACCAGAATACACACATTCCTCACTGCTGGACACCCAGGTATTACCTGCACTATTTCATCCATCTCCGCAAAGTACTGGTGGCCCACCTTGGCACAGGACGTCGCCCGCTATGTCAATTCATGCTCTGTATGTGCACAAACAAAATCTCCCCGGCACGCTCCAGCAAGGAAACTCCATCCCCTTCCAGTGGCCTTGGTCTCATCTGTGCATAGATTTCGTGACTGATCTCCCTCCGTCTGTTGGTTTCACCACTATTATGGTTGTAGTGCACAGATTCTCAAAATCCTGCCGTTTTATCCCTCTCGCTGGTCTCCCTACCGCTC